TCTGGGCTCTGCTTTATCCCAGCGGTGGCCACGGCTGGCCCACCCACACAGCCTGCAGGGACGGCGGCTTGGAAGTGCTCTACCAGAGCTGTGGTAAGACCTCTAACTCATCCATTTGTGTTTATGGGGAAACTAAGGCTCCACAGATGGCCTGCTGAAAAGCTTAGCAGCTGGAGGGTGGGACGGGTTCGTGAGTATTTTCTCCCCTGCAACAGGACTGCACAGGCCACTGGGAGCCTTGGGAGGAAGGGTGGGAAGTGGGAGAGAATGTGGCAAGGGAGTCATCAAAACTGAGAAAAAGAAATGAAGAATCCAAATAGAACAATTCACTAACATCATTGAGTCCAGCCACTCAGCCATTGCCATCAAAGAGATCCCAGCTCAGAGTGACCTTGTCTGGGCTTTCCAAGACGGAATCTTCCCAGGAGCAGAGAAAGGTACCTTTCTCCTGAGTAGAGGCTGGTGAGTTTCAACTGCAGATCCTGAGCTTAGTAGCCCAACGTTTACCCCACAGCTCCACCAGGGCTCTTTTACTGGAATCTCCCCAGTGACTGGAGAGATGATCTATTCATGACCTTTCCCAGGTTCAAAGTAAAGACAGGATGTCTCTCAAAGGTCAAAATAGAAACCCACATGGGACACCTGGGCTACTTCCTTTCACTTCCTTTTGTTGTAAGTTGTGTGTCAAGATCATTTGTGCCACAAGAGATGATCCCTGTCGCTTCTGTCTGCAGACACCTCTAGAGCCTTAATGCAGCAATCGTTGTTTTGAGGGACTGTGATGTTGACCCTCGCTCCTGGGAACCAGGCACAGGTTGCTTGATCAGAACACAGGGCTCCTTGGTCCTGTACCATCTCTGTGATGCATAGTTTTATGCCCCATTGTCCGATTTTCAAAAATAGATCACCAAACCGTTCTTTCTATTCCACCTTCCTCTGTGCTATTACCTGTTCAACATCACAGCAATTCACAAGCCTCCGTTGACAGAGGGCATTGAGCATGAAGTACATTAGCTGGGAATTGAACCTAGCTCGACTGTATGGGAGGAGACAATTCTGTCATTAAACTGCAATAGGCTCACTTGTTAATTCAGCAACCATTGCTTGCATGGCTATCAGTGCAAGGAGGAGCCCTGGTGACAGTGACTGAGCACTTGCTGCTAACTGGAAGGCCAACAGTTACAAAAATGGTATGAGAGCAGGGTCTGACCTCCTTTCATTTTACTGGCTGGGAAGGACAATCAAGATTAACAGCTCAAGATTGATTCTTAAGATGTGGAGGTCAGACCTGCCTCTACCCTCAAATTTTTTCACCAGTCCTGACAGCGACTGTTTCTCCCACAGTATTTTCTATTTTTCTACTGGACTCAATAATGTGTTTCAACGGACACACATAACGCACAGACAATACACAATCATAATTATTGGATTTATTAAGGAAGTAACAGATTACAATTGAGGATTAGAAATGACTCAGGATACAGTTCTTTGGTTAGGACTGTATTTTCTCAGTTGTGTGCACAGGCATGCTTCTCTCTGGACCTCATGGACCTCTGCCCTACTTGAGTGAGTGTGACAAAGTTGGGTTTTTTTAAGTCTGCCAATAGCACCTGGAGGCCCCCACGCCAGCAGCAAATCTCCTGCCCCAAGGTACCTAGCTCTCAGTCCATGGGCAGGAAAGCTCACTCTGCTGTTTCCTGCTGCTTTCCTGGTTCCACTATCTCTGCGGCTGCCACTTCTCTTCTGCTATTTCTCACTGTCTCTAGTGCTCTCGCTGTCTCTTGGATCCATAAGGTTCCCAGTGCAGGAGGCCTAGGTCCAAGGGCAAGCTCTGCTCCCAACTCTTCTTCTTTGGGCAAGTGAGGCCCCCCTCCCCCTGCTTTCTATCTTTTGGTGGCTCATTTTAAGCATAGCAGGACTATGAAACTGAACAATCTTACTATAAACCTTATATGCATGATTCCACCCCTCACAACTATCCCATGCACCTTACTTGCATTATTAGAACGCTGTCTAATCCCCTTGGTGATTTTCCAGAGACCTACCCAGTCATTTGGTGGGCATTACAAAGACGATGATTAGAAGAGCCGTATTAAGTAATTCACTGCATGGCAATAGTTCAAGCCTTTCTCGATGGGAGAAAGATGTGAGTCTGTTTGTATGATGATGTACAGCCTTGGAAACCCTGTGGAGGTCCTACTCTGTCCTATGGGGTTGCTATGAGTTGGCATTGACCCCATGGCATTTTTCTTTAAATCAGTACTGCATTTTTCTCAAGTACTAAAGAAACAAATCTGAATGTGCCAATGGGGCTAACAAATATGCAATAGGTGAATTTCAATCCAAAGAACAAGCTGTAGTTAACTTCAGTAAGCGTGTGGGCTGCCCGAATGGGGAGAAGCTAAGGTAGTCTTGGGAGGAGGAGAAAGACCCCACCTTAAATGAGGAATAGAGGGCTGCCACTGAGAGGCAGCATACAGTGCAGGCTGGGACTTTGGGGGCAGACATGGAACATGACACTTTTTAGATGCATGGAAGAGGAGGGTAGGCAGGAGGTACAATTTAAGCAGCCAGGCTGGCCTCTCTCTAGGCTGGGGAGTGTATGAAGATGTCCCACTTGAGCAGAGAGTTGATCTCTCCAACTACTGACCAGGGAGCCTACCACAAAGAGGCCATTGTGTGACTTTCATCGACTGCTTTAAAAAGAGCTACTGAAGCTCACAAACACACACACACGCAAAGATAAAAGATTAAGTATGAGAAAATAAATGGCTGGATGCTGAAGGTACTGATTCCATCACTCTGCCCCTTTTGTGGGAGCAGAGCTCTGGACCGAATCAAGCCATGGAACCCAGGTGTGTGATGAAAAGATAGCCAAGAGATGACAGAACAGGTCAGGATGTCTGATTCATCCTCACAGAAAGGTGGCATCTCCCAGACTCACCCTTCAGCCAGCAGCCCAGCCTGACAAAGCCTTTCAAGCCAGTTCCAAAGCATTGAGGGATGAGCATGTCAGGAGAATCAGGTATTATCAGCCAGGCACTGGGAATAAAGGAATGAGAATAATGAATGTCCCATCCAGAGTAGTGGGAGTGTCAGCCCGAGGTGAGCAAAATGCAGCACGGTGCTGGGGAGAGGGCCATGTTTTCAAGTTTGAGTTCAGACTGGACTGATGCATCACATTGTCACAGTTTATATGAGTGAAGTCCATCCATTCCTATGAACTCAGGGACCCTTACACACAACCCCATGTAGTAGGTTTTGTGTTGATCTCCATTTTCCTTGTTTACTAAGAATCTCTTAGTAAACTCGTAATCCTGAGCCAAGAGATGAAGTAACCTCAGGGTCGTGACTCCATCCCAGTGCCTTTAATTCTTGGAAATTCTAATTTGGATAAATCTGTGTCATTGGATCCCAAAACTATAGGATGGTGACAGGGGCAGCTCCAAACAGCCATCCTCAGGTGGAAAGCTCCCAGAATTCTATGGAGCAACAAGACCAGGAAAATGTAGATGCAAAAGAGATAGATGTGACTCCTCATTGAAAGATTGTTTTGTCCTTTTGCCTTACCAAGTTCTCTTTGCTGCCCTACCAACTTCCTCCCACATGCTCACATTCTAAAGTACCCATCAGGCTTTGCAGTAGCCAGAGGAGCACCCACATCCTCTTTTCTATACCCGTGGGTAACAAGTTCCCCTTTTGTGAAAGCTGCTTGGGTTTGCAAGCTCCCTTGCTGTGGGTGCTGTGGGTGAGGCACTGGGCTGCTAACCACAAGATCAGTGGGGGTGTTGGGGGCTAAGATGAGGCCATCTGCACCTGTAAAGAATTACTGTCTCAGACGGACAATGGATCAGTTCCTCTCTGATCCAAGGGGTCCTATCACTTGGAATCGATTTGATAGCAGTAAGTTTTCCTGGCTTTCTCTTATCAGTAACAAAAGCATTGGATTTCATCTTGATGAGTTGACACATGTATTTCATAGAAGTGTCTTCCATGAGGTAGTGGGGTGAAGCAGGGTGTGGAAAGGCCCCCTATTTGGATATCATAGCTCATCAGCGATCTCTTCAGAGTTTCTGGGGCTAGGGGGTCATTGAGGGGCTTGCATGCTTTCATTGTGAAACTTCCAATTACACACCTGCTTTCGCCTCCCATGGAGGCCATTGACCTGAGCAGGTTTTTCAGATACTTCATTTGACCTCCAAAATGTCCCTTAATTATAAAGTCTAAATAATATATCAGGGGTGATCAAGCAGGACAATTAATCCGGCTTTAAGAATGCAAAATACTGCAAGCAATGTCCCCCAAATCCATGACAGCTGCAAATGATTTAGGTATATGGCAGATGGAACAAGTGCTGGTAATAATGTGCTCTTAAAAAAGAGGGAAGCATGACTTTCTTCAGAACCTAGTAAGTCTGTAGTATATGGAACACAAAAGAAACAACAAACACAAAAAATCACAGACAGTCATGTTGTTATTTAACAATACTTTCACAGAAAGCAGTTTCTCATTGAGTCCCGCACCCCCACCGCCGCGCAGATTCACAGGGATATAAAGTAATATACTGTACACTAAATGAATAGAGACCAATAGCATGAGAGACAAAGAATCCCTTTCAAGAGATTAAGCAGGGTGGAGTCCCTGGGTGGTGTCAGCATTAAACAGTCAGCTAATGAAAAGATGGAAGGCCTCAATCCACCAAGGTGCACTTCAGAAGGAAGATCTGGAGATGTAGCTCACAGCCCTGAAAATTCATTAGCGCATAGTTCTGCTCTGTGCACGTGGGGTCACCAGGAGTCAGAATCGACTCCCCAGCATCTATGTTTTCGGTTTGGGACCAGGTGGGGACTTTTCTGCACAAACAAAGCTTAAAGACAGGAAGCTGATTAAGAAATCCTAGAAGGTCAACTCTGAAGGGTAGATTATAAAAATGGGACATGAAGATGATCTGGGGCTGGAGGATCGAAGGGCAGCAGGTAAGGAGGGAGGAAACAACCACTTAGGTATGTTCTATGCTTTCAAACCAGTTTCCAGTTGGTTCTTTCCATTTTACAATGAAACCTCCAAAGTAATATGGATTCTACGCAGCCCTT